TCCTTTTTTTCCAACTTTAAAGCTTTCCTCACTCTCCTATCTGCCTTTGAATCTCTGCCAAATTCAACCAATGGTAGCTGAATTTCTTGCTGTAGCTTTTTACTTTGTTTCCACACAGCAGTTCTCAAGCCTTTTGGTCTCAGGATCCCTTTAGAGTCTCAAAAAAAAAAAAAAAATCATTGAAGAAAGGGAGAAAAAGGTGGGACAAAAAAGTTAAAATCATAAAAAAGGCCAGGTTTGCTGATCAGAAACAGACCGGGGAAACCACTGGAGCGCATGGTCCTCGGCACCCCTCCACGCCTGGAACAGAACTCGTTCCCCGTGGCTTAGCCTTCAGTCAAACTACGAGTCTTTACGGTGAACACCAGCGAAGTCTACACTCCTCAGAACAATCAACCGCACAAGACCCAAAGGGCAGCGTTTGCCCAGGGAGAGAAGTCAAAATGTGGGAAAGAACCAGTGGAAAAGCTCAGCACAGGGAAGAAAGCAGGAAGATGCTGTCGCCGTGGGAGAATTCTAATCAAAGGCACAAAGTAGGTGTGGACTGTTGTAATGAAAACCAATTTGTTCCAAACATTTTCACCAAAATCTCATTTAAAGATTAAGAAAAATTTTGAAGAACTGAAGCTTTCGTGTGTGTGTGTGTGTGTGTGTGTGTGTGTGTGTGTATACACATCGTTCTGAGAAACACTGGAGTTAGTATGTAAAATAAGGTGAACTCGTGGCATCATTTCTAAGGTGCTTCACAGCTCGTCAAAAGGCTACATCTGAATCCATCAGTTGCTCGGAGGCAGAAAGACTCATAGATTCAGAAACCCAGTGGACGATCTTTATGAGTCGAAACTGACCCGCAGTGAGTTTGAGTTTTATATTATGAATCAAAAGTAAGAAATTATTAAAACAGAAATCTATAAGCAAATGGTCCATTTGTGGCCAAAGTCGTGTTCTCATCACACATATCACAGGCTCTAGAAAACTCTCGTGGGCATTCATTACAGAAGGCAAACAATGAGTATGATGAAAGTAGTTTGACCTTTGAATGGTTTCTATTTCCACAGTTCCCAAATACCACTGTAAGGATAGATTTCCACAGCTCCCAAATAACACTGTAAGGACTCTTGTTTTAAATCTGTGCTTTCTTTTTCAAACCCAGACTGTGGTACATGGCAGTAACCTTTACATTGTGACTCAAAGCTCCATTTACTGCCTCAACTCCCATCATATTTGCTCAACACACCACAAACTATCTACACGAAAATGAAGACTTTTCTAAATCCACCAAGAGTCTGAAGGCTGTTGTGTTTGCTCTCGCTGTATTAACTTCTAGAGATTCTCATTCTAGCTTTCTAGGCTATTTTGAAATGTCATCCACCCTAACCCCAGGCATAATTAATTCTTTCTCAAAGAAGGCACTTTCCTTTTCCTTCTACTTCGTTTAGAAGGAACCAACTCACAGCGGACCCTCCAGGAACCTTTCAGAGGTCATAAATTTCGCAAGAGGAGGTTGAACATCTTTCTCTTGCAGAGCTGGATTTAAAGCACTGGAGAAGCACCACCTTTGGGTCCATTGCTCCCTATGGACTCAACCACCAGAACCGTCTATTGTTTGGTAATTTGATATGTAGTTATACTCACTGGGCACTGTGTGAAAGAAAAGACAGGACAATCTGCTCCTATAAATATTTCAGCCTAGGAAGCCCTGAGTCAATTCTACCCTGCCCTCTAGGGTATACAAGTTGTTCAGGAATGAATAGTGCACAACAAGAGTGGTCCTGCTGAGTGAAATATCTCAGTCACAAAAGGACAAATATTGCATAGGGCCACTATTGTAAAATAGGACTGACATTGGGGTTGAGGGAAGACAGAGAAAAAGGGAGGAATGATGTATATTGCATCGCAACAGATGAGGGAGTGAACTGTTGAAAAAGGGATATATGATTAGGTATTATTGTCATGACAGGAGTCCAGAAAGAAGGCTGCACCGTGGGAGTTGGAGGGAGAGGGACTGCATAATAATAAAAGTTTTTCTTTTACTTTTCAAGGAGAAAAGTGAATTGGGGAGGAGAGGGTGAGCAGGGAGAAAAGTGAAATAATGAGTGACTGGAAATCTTAAGTTTCTGTAAACTTTCATTAAAATTATTTTTTTTTCTAAAGAAAAAGCACTTTTTCTGTGCCCTGCAATGAGACCTGGAAAAGGAACGTGGACAATGCCCTTTGAGGACTGACAGTTGCCTGCATTAACTGCTGCGAAGAAGGAACCACAGTCATCTTGGAAATGCCCATTCCCGACACGCAGAGGTGGGTCAACACGATTTTGTTTGCTTACTCTGATTATGAAAAAAACGAGAAGAGTTCTCGCTGAGTGACGCGACTGTGGGCCATGTTCTTTTGATTTGTGCTTTCTTGCATTATACTTCTATAATTACAGATGTAATGCAGTGTTTAAGCATTTCCTTGTAACTCAGCATCCAATACTTTTTTTTAGCATCTAATACTTTGGAAACTTATATGTAATGCAATATATGTGTGATATGTACATTCCTGATATGTAAGTGCTTTTACTTATTCATGCCACTAAAAACCATCAACAGAGGTGTGAACATCCAACTCAATTGGACAGCGTTCTTCCTGTATCATACACCATAGGCAAACATTCTATTGTCACCATTTGCTAAGCATCAGAGAGCTGGACAATGACTAGGGAGGATAGGAGACTTGATGCCTTTGAGCTGTGGTGCTGGAGAAGAGTATTGAATATACCACGGACTACTAAGAAAATGAACAGTTTTTTCCTGGAGAGAGTGAAGCTGGGCTGCTCTTTGGAGGCAAGGATTCTGAAGTTCGTCTGACATACTTTGGACACGTTACAAGGAGGGACTGACCAGTCCTTGGAGAGAGACGTCATGCTTGGGAGGCTGGAGGGACAGTGCAGGAGAACAAGACCCTCGATGGGATGGATTGATTCAGTGACTGGGGTAATCGGGATGGGTGTGTCAGAGGCAATGCGATTGGCACAGGATAGAGCAGGGTTTAGTGCTGTTGTACATAGGGTCACTATGAGTCACAGGCAACTCGACGGCACATAACAACAACAACTACACATTATATACATTGTTATTACTGGAGCCCTTTCTTCATAACCCTCAAGTAGAAGATTCCAGACTTTTCTGTGTGTGTCCCTTCCTGAATTCGTCATGGACTGCGGCTCATCGTATCGCCAGGCAATGTAGGATTCAGGATCTAAACACAAGCATCGCTCTTTAGCTATACAGATCTCAATTAGCAAACCGTTCTCCTGGAACCATATACATCTCTCTGTGGCCACCAGGGAAGTGAAATAACTGGTCGACTTCACAAAGTTCAGTAAAACATTTACGAGGGCATATTGCCCACAGACAGAATGCAAAATGGATTGTTTTAGGAAAGATTTTTTTTTGTCTCTTAGAATAACCAGAAACAGTGTTTGAAGTAGAGAGATGACATAACATTCCTAACGAAGGACCTTCCCACCCCTTGAACAACATCTGAACAACTCATTTCTGAGGGAAGGCAGAATCTTCTGCAGAAGGGAAAAAGAGAGAATGGGGTGGTATTATTGTTTAATTGGCTGCAAGCTAGATAGTTGATTCCTGTGTGGCTCTCGTTCTCATTGTTCTGTGACAATCTGATTCAGTCTGATCGTTACAACAGACTGCTCTCCAGAGGGACCTGCTTCTCCCAGGATACCCACGATCTGCCCCACGCTCTGCTTTTGGGGCCTCCTTTGCTAGACCCCCTGTCTTTTGCAAGGGCTGCGTTCTGTGCAGCCTCCCTGCTCCCTGGAAGCCAGGCGGACTCTTCATTGAGATGCAGGTTGTGCTCCCATAAGCAGGGGCTGCAGAGCATCGTTAAAGCGGTGAGGAGACAAACAAGGCTCGTGCCGCATACCAAGTGGCCTCGCGTTTAGCCGAACCATTTTATTATGAATCCGTTCCCGGCTGCCACTGTGAGCCACCGGTGTAAAATACGCCGGCAAAACGGAGCGCTGCTAATTACGTTTCATGCATATTTCAGAACTCTCCACCGGCGTGCAGGAGGAGGGGCTTCAGAAAAGAGAATTTTACAACCAGGTTCGCTTGCTTTTGGCATCAAGGCCCCGCACAAGCCAGTAACTGAGATAAGTTCAGTGACATTGCAAGTTGTGTTTGTTTTAGCTGGAATATGGTAATTTCTGATAACTCTATCAGCACGAATGGAAAAGGACATCACTCTTCAATCCACCTGAACACACAGGTGTGCAGGAAAGCACGAGGCCAGTAAATAATTTTTTTCTCACATTTGTGGGTCCTGGTGTTTGATTTTGTTTAGTCATAGTTTTGTGTGTTCCTCTCCCACTTTGTGTTTGTCCTCATATTTCCATTGTTGTTGTTATGTGTCGTCGAGTAGCTTGCGACTCATAGCGACCCTAGGTACAACAGCCCTAAACTCTGCTCTATCCTGTGCCAATTACACCATCTCCGATGCACCCATCCCGATTACCCCAGTCGCTGAATCAATCCACCTCATAGAGGGCCTTCCCCTCCTGCGCTGTCCCTCCACCCTCCCAAGCATGATGTCCCTCTCCAAGGACCAGTCTCTCCTTACAACATGTCCAAAGTATGTCAGACAAAGCCTGAGAATCCTTGCCTCCAAGGAGCATCCTGGTTTAACCCTCTCCAGGATGAATCTGTTTGTTCTCTTAGCAGTCCATGGTACACTCAATACTGTTCTCCAGCACCACAGCTCAAAGGCATCAGTTCTCTTTCTGTTCTCCCTAGTCATTGTCCAATTCACCAATAAGTGATTGTGAAGACCATGGCCTGTATCAGACACACCTTAGTCTCCAGAGAGACACCATTGCTCTTCAGTACTATGGAAAGGTCCTTAACAGCAGACTTTCCCTTAGATTGAATACATGAAATGAGCCTCTGGTGACACAGCACACAGGAGGTGACAGGAGAGTGTCAGGGAAGCACTGTTACCTGCTTCAGGACAGAGCTGTAAAGAACACAGGTGACCGCTTTCTCGTGGCTTTTCACAGGGGTGCTGGCTTCACTTTTCATTGCCAGCAAACCTAGCTGGTTGTTAAATGAGATGAAAAGGCGTCCGTGAGCTTCATCGAAGTGGAAGAGGCATCTGAAGTCCTGACTTTTGGGGAAAGAACACGCTATCCTCTGGATGGACAGCTGGTGTTGAATGTCCCAGAGTCTCAAAACCTGCACGAAAAATAACAATTCTATATGATTACATAGAAGGTCCTTTCGATTTTGAGCCATAAACTTCTCTGGCTCTTCTTTGATCTGAAGAAGAGTTGTTTCTACTATTATGACTAAGCAGTTCCATTTTAGAGACTAAACTAATTGTATTGAGAAGGTCTGCTGTCAGAGATCTGTCCAAAGTACTGAAAAGCAATGATTTCATT